TTTTTTCCACGAATTTGTCCCTGAAAAACCCGCTACCTACCAGAAGCCCTGTTACATTTAACATTTTTGAAAGAATCATTTGAGGCAGATTTCAACATGCATACTTTAATTCCATCTATTCTACTCGCCACTCATCCCTATAGCATCAGCTAGTGCAAAGGGTGGCAACAAGAACTTTGATTCACACTTGGCACAAAAACTACCCTTTGCACAACTTCTGGGGTGGACCATCATAAATCTGTTTAGAAATCAGGTTTATTTAGTGGGTCCACATCAGCCCTTTAGCTGCCTTATACTAACCTACTCATCATAATTAACAAAGAAAATCACATTGGGAAGAGATTACGGCAAACACTACCCTGTATCACCTTACCATCATTTTGAAGCAAATCCAAAATTGACAACAGAACATGGGGCACATCCACCTGTCATTGAACACAAACAATAAGACTGACAGCAATATCATTAAATTACGTTACCACCAAATGATCAAAATTTCTCTGAACAGTTCTGTACCTCATCTGGGATGGCAAGATCAAGATTGACATCACTATCCTTCAGACCAAAACCAGTCAAGGAGGATCCGTAAAGAGAGACTGAACATTCTGTTACAAGAAAATCAGAATGTAACAATGCTAAGAAAAATAATTATTGTTTGACATACACGAAATAGCTAGACATTATAACATACAAAATGTATAATTTCTAGAATTATAAAATACTGCATTTTTGTAAATCACTACCTACAGTGCAGCTCAGATATAAGCGAACTACGCATACGCGTATCATACGAGCGTATTTTGCGTATACGCGTATGTCAATACGCGCACANAGCTGATTTGTCAGTACAATGTAGAGCTTTACAGTACGTTTTAAAAATTAAAATTTTGCATCCACAGCTATGCAATTTATTTGATTTAGCACCCAGGTGCTAATTTACGTTTAGTAGCCCAAGGGTGGGTGCTAATTATTGGAGGGTGCACTTGTGAGGCATGAGGAGATTGCTTCTCTTAGAATATGTGCATCTGAATGTGATAAAGAACTTTTAATTAATGAAAAACAATGGACAAAGTAACTCAAGAACTGTAATATTACAATAGGCCTTTAGGGGCTCTCATACATGTAGTTATAACGCCATTTTGCTGTAAATATGTGCACATGTCTGTAGTTCCAGAAAATACCCATACCTCCCCCATGGAATGGATTTTTTCTAAGACCCCCACCCCTCTGGAAATTCCAATAAAGCTTCATACATTTCTTTAAATTTTTTGGTCTTATAGAACCCCCTACTGCTTCCCTCTCCCCCAGGAAATTTCAGTCCCTTCAGTGGCAGGAGTATAGACATTTCCTGGAACTGCACAATAATTCATGCTGTTTTTTTTTTTTTTTTCAATATCACGTTCAGATGAGAAAGCAGACCACACAATTTACTAAAATCTAATCAGTCTACTCCATGTAATGAATATCACTTTTGCAATAAGGTGCTTATTAGGAGGGGGTGCTTATTGAAGTAGGGGTCCTTACTGGAAAAAAAATGACATTCAAGAGGGAGCGCTTATTAGAAATGGGGCACTTATTTGGAGGAGGGCGCTTAAGGTTATTCCCCAGTATTGCATTGCGCATCCCTACTGCGCATAATTTCACGTGTGACTAGCGCGCATGCATTAAAAAATGGCAGCTTTTTCTTTACAGCTGGACCTTGCCATAGAGGTAAATCGTCATTTTCTTGCAAACGAGTATGGTGACCTATCATTTTTTCCTGTTGTTTTGAATTGAGTAATAAATTTCTTTGTGTAAAATAAATATGGACCAATTCTCAGTGTAGAACAAAGAGCAATAGTCGGAAACGTGAATTTAGCAAGCAACCATGACTACAATCATGGTGCTATTTTAAGGATTTATATGGGTATAAACAAGGTGCTGTTGCTCCTAAACAAACATGGGCACCCCTCATTTTTATTTCAAAATTTAAGTTCCTGTAATATAAACAATCAATAGGCAAAGTTTCACAAAAATCTCAGTGCAGGTTCTATTTCAGTGGAATGACCTTAAATCAAATCATTGCAGTAAGGACTGATACAAATGTATATCAGGTGGATACAGAGAGGAAGGAGGATTGGAGAAAGAATGCACAAGATAAGTCAGTATTTTACTCAAGAAAAGAACCGAGGTCCTTAAAAGGCCAGCCCTGTAAGAAATAATTTCCTCTTGATTTGAAGACCATTCCACTCAAATTGTACTAGTGTGCAATAAGCAAGATCCTGTAATAGGGTAGGTCACAGCACCTCAGTCCCAAGGGAAAATAATTAGTAATCTACCATACCTGGAAACATGGTGCACACTGCCTTGCCAACATTTTCTGCAACCTTTTGTCTGATTGGTAAATCCTTCACAGGACATAAACCATGCTCCAAAAACACTGAATCCAGAAGCTTGCTCAGCGCTAAAGTTTGGTGTTCTGAAGGGGGGGCAACTTTTGCTAGGGACAAGATCTTTCCTTTGGTCTAAGCAATAAACAACAGGAATGTTAGTATTGTTAATCTTACATGTAGGGATATTTCTACACCCCCCCCCCCCCCCTGGATGGGATGCTAGTCCATTGCAGGGTTATCCCCAGCAGTAAACTAGCCAGTACCATTTAGACACCTGGGTGGAGAGAGGCACTGTGAGAGTAAAGTATCTTGCCCAAGAACACAACACAATGTCCCTGGCAAGTTCTTAAACCTAGACCACTCAATTGAGAGACAAGTGCACTAACCATGAGGCCACCGCAGCTCCACAATCTTACATGTACTTTAATCTAAATACGTGTTTAAATGTTGTTAATTTACTGTGTGTGTATGGTACTTTGTTTCATATTTATTTTCTATATTACTGTATCTCCATTTTGTCTCCATTCAGTTAAAGTACCCGTGAAGTAAAAAATAATTCCTGCTTATTTGAAAGGCTTTTCAAAGTAAAGAAGAATGGCATTTTCCTTTTTCGTATATCTTTTTTTTGTTTTAGAGATTTTCACATTTTTGTATTATGCAAATGAGGAAAGTGATGACGTCATAGGTGGTTCCTCTAAAACAGCACAACACTCAATCGAGAATAACTCTAGAAATATTAAAGCAGTGTTCTTCAAACTTGGCACCAACAATGTACATCAGAAAAGAAACAGAATGACACCTACTATGCTGTTGCCATGGCAACACTCTTGGCTCCAGTCTCTTTCTGTGAAAAACCAAATATCCGCATTTGCATCCTTTTAAAGTGGGACAGAGGGTCTTGCTCGGAACACACATGGTTCCCATATTGTCTTAACTCTCCCCATTAGATTGGTGGGAGTGGATAATCCTTGTTTAAGATAAAATCTGGGAATTTTAGTCTTAATTAAAACAGCACCAGCAGCATGACTGTTGTCATGGCAATGGCACGACGGGTGTCATTATGTTTCTTTTTTTTGTGATGTACACTTCTGGTGCCAAGTCTAAAGAACTCTGCTTTAATATTTCTAGAGTTATTCTTGATTGAGTGTTGTGCTGTTTTAGTGGAACCACCTATGACGTCATCACTTTCCTTAGAAAAACGTAAATATCTCTCAAACGAAAAAAGATATTCCAAAAAGGAAAACGCCATTCTTCTTTACTTTGAAAAGCCTTTCAAATAAGTAGCAATTATTTTTTACTTCATAAGCACTTTAAGTTTAAATCATTCAAACTATTCAGGCATGAAATGAGTATGGATTGCATGATACACTTCATGAAACCTGTATTAATATGCCTGAGATTTTCACAAATCACAGAACCTCTCTAGTTGACAAAATGCTGTTGTCCCTGGGTGTTTTTGTTTTCCTGGTTGGGGAAGAGGGGCCTGCAATGAATTCAAGCTGCAACATAATTCCTGCTTGTTTCATGATACAGAAGTCATGAGCTAACAGGGTGCCGGTCACTTTGGCATATATTGTACATTGTATATGTCATGACTTACATACATGTAAACATCAACCTACAATGTGGTGTACATGTAACTAGCAATGGGCAACAAAAGTAGTTGAAACACTTTTAGAAAATGACACTTTTCGATATCTAAGCATTTATTCTATTTTATTTGCATCTAGTGTTAATTCTCTGATACCCCAGCCCCTCAATTCAATGTTTTGTAGGCGCTGTGCTCTGTGCAGTCTAAGAAATGGAAAAATCAGCATTGTCTGGAGGGGAAAGGGGGGAAATGTTTTCAAGACGCTCGAAAATCAAATTTTACTGCCAAGTGTCTCAACACTTTTGTTATCCATTGTCGAACTTCTCGTGATTCAAAAATACATACATGTATGTATCTCTCACCTTCAATGCTCTCTTGTGACCCTTGGTTTTAATATGAGACCAACATTTGGTAATATTTGGTAGTTTCACTTCACACACTTCACAGTAAAAAGGAGCATCTAAACACCTATTTGGATCCTAACAAATGCAGAAAACAAGTCAGTAAAAAAACAAATGATTAGGGTAATGTGCTGTGTAATTTCAGATTGCAACCTGCTAGAGGTTGTTATTAGAAATTAAACCACTTTATTCAAGTGTCATGGTATTTAGTACTGCTGTGCTAATTAACAATTAGTCCCATAGCCTGCAAGGGCTACGGGTCAATAGCCCATGAGGCAAAGCCGAATGGGCTATTAACCCATGGCCCTTGAAGGCAAAGGGTCTACATGTAACTGTTAAATAGTATCACCCAAGTAGTCGGAGAGAAAGGCAATAATAAAGTTAGCTAATGCAAGTTGAAGAAATATTATTTGGGAATAAAATGAAAGAAAACGTCATGCTCGACTGTGCTAATTTCGCTATTTGAGAACTTTTACTGATAGTCCTCTAGTAGCGTAGCCAATCAAAATGCAGTATTTGCATTAGTTCACTGGTTGGGTGATACTAATTGGGGATACTACAGATCATAAACACTTCCTTTTGTTCTAGATAATAAGTTTGCATATGAGTTGGCCACAAGAGTGAAAACATACTAGACATAAAATTAAGAAAAAAATATTGTTAATTGAACTCAAAACTTGTTATTCTACATGGAGCAACATGATTGTCATCTTTGAAAATGAGAATGCTTGGTACACACCTTGAGTTTATCATTCGGCAAAACAAAGTGAGACTCCAGTTCCTTGATTGTTTTTTCAGAGTGCTGTTTCTTCTGTTCTTCAGTTAAAATTCCACTTTCCTGCAATACATCACAGAACCACGCTAAATCAATAGTAAAGTATTATTACAAGTACATGCAACTTTTAAACTTTGTGTCAAAATACAAACCCTGTACCATGCACAACAAACACATTTCCTACACAATGTATTGAATCATTGAATGGGAGATACATGTTTGTCTATCCACTGTATCATCATGGCCTCAACAATTTACATTCTGCTTAAATGCTTAGAATGCACATGCGTAGAGCTGGCTACAGCAAATTTCAGTAGTTGCTACAATAACCTGTATGTAAATTAGTCTGTCCACAGTCCCTCTCAAAAATCGTNTGTTCTCACAAGTGACTTGCGACCACCAGTCAAAAAAATTCATTCCAAAATAAAGCTACAAGGGAGCACTTTAAAAACATATGCTGGATTGTATGCTGTTCACTTTTACATAGATAGCATAAATCATCAGCTATTATGTTGGCTCTTTTAAGTTTGTCTTTAGTGTAGATGATATTGTGGTTTATCTTGAATTGAAACATTGCTAAATTTGTATTTTTCGCAACAGGAAAAGGCCATTTATATAATTTTTGGATTTCAGAAGGCTCTACTCTGTAACTAATAATTCGGTTTTCGTAGGTGGTTGAAATTTGTTTCCAACACTTATTTTGTGCAGAGCAGCGTTAGAAAGATTTTCTTCATTGTCGTACCAGTTCTGTTTCAGTGTTTGCCTCTGTCTACCAGTAGGCGAAATTTTCCATTTATTTTTAATTGCACTGAGAAGGTCATAGTATACAGTGAAATTAGATTTAACTTTGAAAAGGTTAACAAATTCTTGATACATTAGGAATTGTCCGCTATTGGAGATTAAGAGGTGTTTAACTTTTGTAACACCCAGCTTAATATTGCACTTGAGCATTTATGTTTTTGCTTGTACTTACATGTACATGTAAGCAAGGATGCGGTCTCAGAGTATTTAGAATAGACTTAGCCAAGTAGGCTGGTGAGCAGCTCAGATGTAAACAACTGTCTATGCTCAGTTAGGGATGTACCAGAAATGCAGCCTACCACTAGTACACCAGGTAAAGTCAACTTTAATCCATGATGTGTTCATGTCCTAACTTCCTCTCTATGCTTCCCCACCCCCACCCCCACCCCCACCCGCACCCCCAGTTTTATTTTTGTCTTTCGCTTTCTTTTCCTGACTTTCCTGAATTTTAGCTTTTTAGCTTTGATAAAATTGCAATGTAAACTCCAGCTTTAGCAAGGACCTACCTCCTTTCCATCATCTTTCTTTGCTGTCCCGGCCCTGTTCTTAAGAGGAGCACCTTCCATCGCATCAGCTTGTAGTTTCTCGGCCTGATGTAATTCTCCGTCACCTTGATGCAATCCTTTGGTATTCTCCAAAGATGAACCAGTAATACTTTCAGAATTGTCCATTTTAAAAGAAGATTAACTCGCTTATCATACTGCCCTCTTCATTTTGTTAGAGTCTGTGCTGTACACGTTGTCTACCAGACGGTCTAGCAAAACACAAATGCATAATTCATCAGACACTCGACGGCTCAAAAGTTATCCCGAATGTTTCCACATATTGAGGCGCTATCGTGGGCAAACACTGTCGTAAACTAGTATTTTTGGCCTTGTACACCCATGTTGATGTTATACAAGGTCGTTGGTGGCTGGAAACCCGATCATGGAGCCCCAAAAAACAACAACAGTTGTCGCATAGCTCAAATCTACACCGCCATTGTTGTCGACGCATATGTTGTGTTGCGTAGCCGATATACATGTCGGCCAGAATCGCGGGCGCAGTGGCGGCGCGCTTGGTTTGTTTTTGCGTGAAAAATTACCATTAAGTCGGGTCGGCATGTGAACGAGCAGCGCTGACAGCGTTTCTCTGACCAAACGAAATACTCCCTGGCTCACGGGAACTTAGAACAATCATTCACACTCCTTCCTCCATTACCCGACTGTACCCAACATGGCCGAAAAGCGTCCGAAGTATATGAACTGGATTCTGGAATGTATCAACTTGCTTCGAAGTCGGAAATCGAGGCCCGACTTGGAGCGAATTTGCCGGACGATGCATAAATGTCACGGAATCGATCAACGAGACACAGAGGAAGATTTAGCCGCGCTCATCGCCAGCGGAATCGTGACTAAGAGGTCTTTCAAAGGCGCAATTTCTTATCGCAATGCGTCCGGTTGGCACAGAGTCATCGGAGCCGGTAAAGTTTCGAGAGCCGCCCGATGGGTGGGCGAAGCGATTCGAGCACTTGATCGTGGGTACGGCGTCAGCGCAGTGGATATTGAGAAATTCATCAGCGCTCGGCACCCCTATTACCATAATCTGAAGGCCAGGATCAAAATCGCGTTGAAGGAAGACTTAGATCATGGTCGTGTTTGGTCTGTAAGCGAGGGCATGTATAGATTACTGGAATCCGCCGAGGTAAGCCATACTACCGTACAACAAGACTTAGTTTATCATTCGCGTAACATGCATGACTGTTCGCTAGGGAAAGTTCTCTAGCTGTGACCGTATGCATGTGGACAAGTAGATTCGTGTTAGATGCATGCGACTCAACGCCGATGCGTTCAGTTGTGATATATCGTTACTATTCGGTGATGTTTCTTCTTTCCCAGCTGGGATTGCAGTTTTTCCAAGTGTACAACCCTAAGCAGACGGCAAATGTAGTAAACTTTTTTTGGAGGCGTTTGTTTGCCTTTTGCAGTCGTTGGACGCAATGTGGAGATGTATATGAGCCTATTTCCGCGTCACGCATTAATTACGATCTTGTGTTTTCCATTGTGTACTTTTAGGCCAGGTTTAGTGTTAACACAAAATTATCCTATTTTGTTTATGGGCAATTAATAAATTTAACTGCAACGAATCGAACCATGATCAAAATTGTTATTAACCTTTAATATGTGTTTTTAGAGAGGTCGAAGCTTCTAAGTATGTATACTGGTGTTCCGTTTATCTTACTGACTTGAATAATCAAATTAATTGATAATTCTGTTAATCATGGAATAATGATTTAAATCCAGTTAGAGACTTTTACAGAATAATACTGCTTGAGTAACAATATGTAACAATAAACAGAGCTCTCATTGGAAATTTACTGTACCATGAGTTATTAGTAGTAATCACCCGTGTCCATGTCCATGGTTTATTAAAATTTACACCAACCGCACAAGATTATATGTATTCAAATGATCTCTTTCACAATAGTCATCGTCATTGGCATAATTTACAATCACCTTCATCATCATCATTGTGCTAAAGAACTATTGACACATTTTGACTTTAAAACTGACAATGCAATGTAGCTTGTCCTGTTTGAACATGTACTGTATAGCAGTACTGTACATCATACGAAAAACCCAGTGTAAGAAACTACTGATCAAGAATCTGTCTGATAAAATGCTGGCATTTAAACCCTCATTAAATACGAACTTGCACATGCTGAAATGAGTAGTTGCAACAGTTCTTATTTTGCAAAATGAGTTGAGTATTAAAAGCCTGAAATAAATCAAGGGATGTACAACAGTTTGCACATTGTATTTCCTTGGAAGAATTGATCTGTAAACCAAAGCATCAGGTTCTGTTAGTCATTAATTACTTCCTTTCATATTTGATTTCAGAGCCCTGAAAGAGAAATTCCTGCATGTGACCAAGTTTGCGACTTCTGTCTACAAACTGCAGAGTCCAACAGACGAGGAGAGCCAGAAGATCTTTTGATATGCAGGGATTGTGGCAACAAAGGTACCCATGCTTCTAGTAAACAAGACAGCATTGTTCATGTTTTTTCATACAACTCGCTTGGTATGTATGTAGACAGTATTTGATGTACCAGTGAGTATTTACATTGTTCTAAGTTTTGTTGGGCCTCTAGAAGAGTTTTGGATTTTTAAGTGGTTTATAAACCATGCAAACCTACATGATATACTTGTGTGTATGATTTCGTCCGACTTGATAAAATTTAGTGACCAAGTATTTCTCCGTACATATCACTGTTAAATTCCATAAACTTAAGGTTTTAGCTGTGATTACCAGGTTTACTAATTAAAAACAGTGGTACTTTCACAGGTATACAATATTCATGTGATTCTATTTTTTTTTTCTTTTTTTGTTATCTTTCAGCACACCCAAGTTGTATGAATTATTCCCCAGAGCTTGTTCACAGAATCACGTCTGATGCTAGTGCATGGCAGTGCATAGACTGTAAAGCCTGTATAATATGTAATGACAGTGGAGATCCTGTAAGTCGGTCTTTGAGTATTACAGATTATTATGTGGCTTGTGTTTGTAGCCGATATATATATTATGCATACTCTGATTGGCTAATTCTAGGCATAATTCTCTCGTAATGTCTACGGGTGGATAATGAACCTCAGCTATTTACAAAGAAAGTAAAATGTTGTATACATGTTAGTACTAAACAACTTGTTAACATTCAATAGTCAGTCTTTATGGGAAAATATTAAACTTCTGCCTTACCGTATTGGCAAGGTCTCTGTTTGACATTCTCCCATGAAGACCTCACTCACAGTTAATAAGCAATTTTTAATTAGTATCTAATGCTACCCTTCTTGGGAGGTGTGGTGGTATGGTGACTATTGTGCTGGATTCCAGAGAGCACTTGCTCAGGTCACTGTGCTTTGTACTGTGGCAATTAAGGATTCAACTTACACACTCTCCCTCTTTCCCAGGTGTATACCTGTAAATGGGTTACCACTGCCTTTGTTCTGAAGTAGGGCTAATATTCAAAACCTCTGATTTGTAAACTTGCCTTGGTGGTTAACTGATTACCTTAATTAAGTTGATAAAGATCTACCTTAAGTTGATAAAGATCTACATGTACATGTGAGGGTTGGACCATTATTTTTGGAGGTTGTGGGGTTCAGCAATTTTATGGGGCAATTGAATTGTTTTCTCACTTGTCTTTAGGTTGTGCATGACTTTTTTGGTGGGCAAAAGCTTGTGCATAATTTTTTTTAGCACAGAAATAGGACCATTGTAGTAGAAAGTGTTTGGTCATTTTTTCCCTCATGGCTCCCCCTGCACAACTTTTCTTTCAGCAGGTTCTGCAGTGTGGGGATTTTTTCCAGAAATTGCCCAAACCCTCCCCCCCCCTTCCCTCAAAGAAGTAATGGTCCATCCCCAAGTGCCACTGGCTGGAGTTAACCTGTTGATGGGCTTTTTTCGTATCCATGTGGGCTCATATTTTTTAGCACAGGTCTGCTTGATGAATGGTGGGAGGTTCTGTGACCAGATCTTACTGTGCTGCAACCCAAATCAAGCCCAGACCTTATAACATCAAGTGTGTATTTCGATATTTACTAGCAGTGTGTAACTATTTGTTTTGCAGAGTAGTTTATTGTTCTGTGATGCCTGTGACAAGGGGTATCATATGCAGTGCCATGTACCCCCTCTAGCCACAATGCCAATTGGTAAGAATTGCTACAATCTGTTCTGTTGTTTCCCTTTCTCATATTTCTTCCTCTTTCCCTCTTGCACCCCTTCCCCTCTACCTTCTCTTCTTGACCAACTCTTCCTCTTTCTGCTTCCCCTTGTCCTGACCCCCTTCTCCTCCTCCTCACCTCCAGGAGTGGATCCAGGATTTTTCAAGTGGGGTGGGGAGGGGAGGAGCTAGTACTTTAGGGTTGCAGAATTAATGGAGCATGCCCTGAAAATGTTGTAATTTGAGAACTGGAACCTATTAATTTAAAATTGTTACACCTGAAATACTAGCAATGGTACAAACTAGAAATAACAATGAGGTACCTGTCCAAAGTTTTTGCCTTTGTTTCTTACTTTCATTTTTTTTCATTTTCTGCTTCACCAAGAGGGGGTGGCTAGCCACTCAATCCATGCCCCCTAAATCCACCCCTGACCTCCTCCTCCTCCTCCTGACCTCCGCCTCGTCCCCCTCCTGACCTCTGCTTCCTCCTCCTTCTCCTCCTTCTTTTTGGATGACCTGGCAATAACCATGTTTCATGTTTTCTGCAAACAGGAAAATGGGTTTGTTACAACTGCCAGAATCATCCCATAAATCCAGTACGTCTTTCTGACTCCAGTGGCTTCGAGACAACNTCCTCCTCCTCCTCCTCCTCCTGACCTCTTCTTCCTTCTTCTCCTGACACTCTACTCCTCTTTCTTCCCCTTTTCCTCCTCCTCCTCCTCCTCCTGACCTCCGCCTCGTCCCCCTCCTGACCTCTGCTTCCTCCTCCTTCTTCTCCTTCTTTTTGGATGACCTGGCAATGACCATGTTTCATGTTTTCTGCAAACAGGAAAATGGGTTTGTTACAATTGCCAGAATCATCCCATAAATCCAGTACGTCTTTCTGACTCCAGTGGCTTCGAGACAACAATTAAGACAGAAGGTGGGAGTAATATGATTCTGGGAGATGATTTACACCTACAGTGTGATGAAGAAATCATGGGTGAATGTACTGTTGAAGTAAAAGATATTCATATTCAAGGTGAGCAAAAAAATAATACCAAAAAAAAAGAAAAGACCAAAAAATGCAAAACATAATTGAAAGGCATGAACACATGTTATAACCATGACCTTAATGTTGACTGCAATTTAGAAGCTGATGAAGATAAACAAAACACAGTAGAATATTATATATACAGACAAGCCTGGCTCAAACTTTGAACGCTCGATCCAGAGTCCAGCCTGAAAACTACCATTACGCCCACACCTAACAACCTAGTTAGTGCTCAGCGGAAGTCACAGAGCTGTGCTCTAGAAGCGCCCGGATACCAGAGGTGACTAATGTTTTGCCTTTGGGCGACTGGAAAAATAAACTTAGTACTTTTTTGATACACTGTAAGCTTAAGTGCTCAGGGCAGCCAGGATTTTGTTGTTAGGAAACTTTGGGCTCCTCAACATTTTTCTTAGACCACAGCCTTGACTGTTGAAGACCACGTGATCCAGATGTCCAACACAGGAACAACATGCAGCAGTTAAATGGAATTTAATATATTGTTTCTTTTTTTGTGTGTGCAGTTGATGCTGAAAATGTTCAACGAGAGTTGGAAATGCTGAGCCAATCTGCTGCATCAAGTGATTCAAAACCAAACTCATCAGGGCAAGCAAGAGGGGTGAACAGTGATCTACATTCAGCCAGTCACAGCCAGTCCAATGGCATTCATTCAGACCCTAATACAACAAAGAACATTGCTAACGGTTTGCCAAGTAAGACATGTTTACTGCACTTCTTACTAACAAGCACTCTGATGTTCAAAACTTATAT